ATATGAAGATAGATATATATTTATTGTATAAATATATATAATAAAATAAGTGCATGCTGTAATAACATGCTTAATTCGAGGCCCCTGCAATAGATTAATAAATGTAAACATTACATGCAAACAGTAAAATGTAAACAGTATAAACTGTTTCTCCAAAATGGAAATATGGACGTGTGATCCTTTTGTGAGACATAAGAAAAAAAATTGGCATGAAGTATTAACTTTCTGTGATATACCTTAAGGATTATGTCTTTTCCAGTCCATTTCTTCCTCCTGGAGAGACTTGGATGAAGCAATCCCCCCTCAATTTTCCTAAAAGAAAATCTCTTAACTTGCAATTAATGCTCGTTAATACTGTGTATTGCATTATTTGAACTACATTGTGTATATAATAATTAAAGCAATTTCTTTAGGAGATATAATTGCTGTTGATTGGCTTAATATAGAACAAAGTAGTGATAAAGAGCATGTAGTAGGGACTTGTGTAATTGAGCAATGGAGCAAGATGTGGCAAGCATTAATAAATAGATCGTGCATCCTGCTGTGTTGTGGGAGGCATTAGGCCAATGCCAACAAGGCACACCCAACAAATATAAAGGCAGTATGGATACATTCCAGAATTCCTTACTGTTATTCAAGGTATTAATAAAATATTCCTCTGAAGGATTTTTGTGCATATGAGTGTAGCTGTATGGCTCTGAATTGAGGCACATGATATTGCAGGTGCTTTTCAAATAAGAAAAGGTCAAAAATCCCTCACTTAGCTCTGTCTTTTGAAAAATACCATGTAAAACATTGTGGATCCATCAACATTACTTGTGTTGAAGTCAGTAATAAAATTTCCTTTGACTTCACTGTCAATCATTAGTCCAGCTTCTGACAATTCCCCACAAGGTATTCTGCTTTCCTGAAGTGTTTTTTCTTATTCTGTGCAATGCCAAAAAAGGCTGAGAATTGGGGGACGTCATTGCAAACTGTTCTGATTGCTTACACCTGAACAAGGGAGTATGTGTGTCCCTGGGAACTTCCCCAGCTCCCTGTAGGCGATACACCATCTTCTGTGCATCCAGAGTTGGGGATGGCTCTGGCTGTAACACCTTCACTCAGCTCTTACCGTGTTCTGTCTCTCAGAGTAAAAACATTAATTTCCTCTCTTTTTTTCTTTTGTCCTTTTTAATAGGTAGAGGAAGAAAGGTAAGATTTCCTTTTTTTTTTTAAATGTATTACAACTGTTAAAAGAATCTCTTGCATCTCCTTGGAGCACTTCACAGAAATTAAATATAAACTCTGTTAAAAAGACTTAATTCTTTCCTCTTGGTCTTACTTAGTGGTTAGGGAGATTGCAGTCCACATGGAAAAAATGCTGGGATGCAGGCAAAAATCCTGGTCTTAATATAGAGAATCCCTTGACTGAAAATCCCTGCTGTCTACATAAAAGGAATTCCAGTTTGAGTAGTTTGGTTGTTTCATCTCTAGCAGTGCCACAAAATGAGGGAAGGGACCGCTAGGTCATTAGAAGCCAAACTATTAAAACTCTCAGCTTGTTTTTGCTGAGACTTAGCTGCCCAGTGTGCAGTAGGTAGCACAACCCCTCTAACCATTCCTGCTGGAATTGTTAAAACTTTGCGCAGGAGGCGTGTCTGTATTATGGTGCAAGGCGTTACTGCATCTTGTCTAGCTGTCCTTGTGTTAGCTTGGACCGATTCCTAATTCAGGCCTCAATCACAAGATAGCTGTTGCACTACTGCCCGTAGCCTGGAGCAGCCACTGAGGTATGACACACTGAGGTGTCAGATATGGCTGTACGTCAGCTGTGCAGCCTGTCTTGTGTACGGCTACACCTGAGGTCAGGTGTATTTACAGGAGCCTAAGTGACACCTTTGACTGCTAGGCAAACTTACCCCCAAACTACTCTGCCTTCTAGCTGGTACCCCACAGCACTGATGTGATGACCTCCAATGTAAAGTTATACTTACAGATTCAAGTTCTAAAAAAATGTTTTACACTACTCATTGGTCTACACAGTGTTTTTAATAAGAATTTTGGTTTTCTTACATTTGCTGTTTTATTTCATATACTTGACCATGGATTACTGGGGTTTTGTATAAATCAGTGGAGGATTGCACAAATATAAAAATACTCCTCAGCTCTACTTAAATGTATGAAACCATGCTGAAAACATTTTTTTGGCATCCTTTCTACTTTCACTGTGATAATAATTCAGGCTGCCCAAGGCAGCTTGCATAATGTCATGGCCCTGTTCAAGTCAACACTAAGTAAAATGCTGGCAACCGTTACCCGAGTACTTGTGAAGGTCCTTTATGACAGGAGGCTCTGCTGGAGGTGGGTCTGCCACAGCCTGAGTGCTCGATGGGGACGGTTGGTCCAGGCACTGATGAAGAACTGGGATGATGTGTTCTTGCACAGAGCCACACTTCTGTGGGCGGCATCTCTCATAGTATGCAATTAAACAAAGAGAAGATCTATTCTTACAAAAGGAATTAAAACACAATCATAAAATTGTTTAGGTTGGAAACCTTTAAGATCATCCAGTCCAACCATTAATCTAACACTACCAAGTCCACCACTAAAGCAATTAAGGGTACAGTAGCAATTTCATGTTTCCTGGCTTGGTGGCTGGATTATTTTTTAATGAAAGTACAAACTAGCAATCATTAAGATTGGAAAGGATCTCTAAGATCACCAGTCCAACCATCAACCCAACGGCACCATGCCCACTAAACCATGTCCCAAAGTGCCACATCTACTCGTCTTTTGAATGCTTCCAGAGATGGTGACTCTACCACCTCCCTGGGCAGCCTGTTCCAATGCTTGACTACCCTTTCCATGAGAAATTTTTTCCTACTATCCAATCTAAACCTTCCCTGGTGCATTTGAGGCCATTTCGTCTCGTCCTATCGCTAACTGCTTGGGAGAAGAGACCAACACCCACCTCACTACAACCTCCTTTCAGGTAGTTGTAGAGAGCGATAAGGTCTCCCCTCAGCCTCCTCTTCTTTAGGTTAATACGTTCTGATAAATGAGCTTCTCAGATAGTAAACACCTACAAGAAATAATAGAAATAATATTTAGGTGATCAAGTATATACACTCACTAAAACGGAGTAGCTCTGTATGCAGGAGGTAGTTTATGGAAGTAAATGGACTGTAACCAGTTTATTATTACTTGATAAACAAGGGAGGAAATTTTTTATCTTTACGAAGTCCTCTTTTTTTCCTTAATAAAATGGTTACCAACAATAGGTCTAAACCCAGTTATTTTGTGTAACGTATAGTCATTGTCAACACATTCAGTTCAAAGAAAAGTGGCAAATGCTGTGTCCTTCATTCTGAAGCTATACGATATCATTTTGTATTCTGTCCCTGCGCTGCAGATGGGCATGCAGGTTTTTTATGTTCATAAATTTAATGATGTGAATTTTGATTTAGTACCTTGAAGAAACGGAGTCCGAATGCTGCTCTGGGCTCTGCATTTCATATGAATCATAGAATCCAATAACAGAACTACAACTTGTTTTGTAGTACGTAGATATCATGGTAATTTTTTAGTTTGACTCTTCTTTCAGTCAGTATGTTATGCAGTTAGAGAAAGTATGTTAATTTATAACCTTCATTTAATCAGTGTCCATAGTCATTAAAAATAGTATGGAATAGCTATCACAGCTACTTCAATTGAGCCTCAGCTGTATCCTTAGAGAAGTCTTAGCATTTGTCACAGTCACAGGCACGGTATTGGTGAAACTTGTACTGTTAATTGTACTTTCACTTGTTTTCTGCAGTCAGATGTTTTTGTATCTTTTTCCTACAGGGACAAAAAGGAGAACCTGGAATAGTGCCACCTGTAAGTCCATTTCTTTCTCCATTTATCAGCACACCCTAGAAGTGTACATTTTAGTGCTTTAAAGCAGAATTGCAGTAATTAGGAAAATACAACAAAAATGTACAGCCTAGGAATGAAAGGAATGGGATTAATTATGCTGTTTCATGTATGTAACATTAGAAATTCCAGTCAGTTGCATTTTGGGAGAAAGTCTTATTGAGTTAAATCTGTCGTAATCTTTACTTTTACAGTTAGAATTTTGTGGAGGTATAATGGTAAATTAGTATTTGGAAAGTGTAGAGACTCTTGAGAAAACTAGCAAAATAAATTGTCACTTTCTATTTTTATTACCCCTGTCTAGCATGAAGACAAACAAATTAAAAGAATTGATAAATTGAAACTAAATCACTGTAATTCACTTATTTAATCTTTTTTAGAATAACAATAATACTGCCAAGATTTTGCTCATATTGCTTATAAAAATACTCCAAACTGGAAAGAGATAACTAGTGGAATTTACATTTTTTTTTTTTTTTTTCCCCCAAAAGCCTTGCAACTTGTCTGGCACTTTAATTTGCTCTCTTGCTAGTTACTTTTCAATAACTAATTTTCTGTAGGGTAGTCATGACAAATATAGCCATAATGCTCTGTGGTAACTTTCATTCATATTGCCTTCCTTAGGTTTCAGGAATACGAGGCCGCCCGGGACCAGCCGTGAGTATTTTTTGATCTTCTGTTTCTCTGATGATAGCATTTTCCACTTTATGCCATTTCTGTTTTGTATTGTGAGGATGATGTGAAGGAGGACTCTTCTGTGCCTGTAGTGGGTATTGTCTGCAAAGCTGCTGGATTTGAGGAGGCAACAAGATTATGAGATTTTTTTTTTACTAGTCTCTGGTCAGCCCGTGCCCTAAGTGAATGGTTGTGTGCTTGTAGTACATGCATGTCTGAGGACCTTTGTGCGAGGCTGATGCTGGGGAATGGTTTTCTAGCAGGGATCTAGCAGGAGTAGAAGGAGACGCAGTATGCTCCCTGGCTGCGGCTAAGCAGAGAGCAGTTCTGGACTAGCAGGAAGGTTGTCTCAAACCTGTACGTCTCAGCATTAAGAACCTCCAGCATTCAGAAAACCTTTGCTAAATTAACCTGTGGAACATGTGAGAGATGAAACCATTTTGTAGATCTCTGCATCCTGGTTCTACTCCCTTCAGGCAATGTACAATTGAGAAGAAATATTGAATACTTGGTGATGGTAGTGGTTTTCTTTATAATCATTGTGAACACCCCCCCCCCCCATTAATTTTCAAATAAGCATTGCATTTCATATTTTCAGAGCTTTATTAATCGTTATCTAGTTTAAAAGGTACTTAATATTTCTAATCTTTCTTTTAGGGACCTCCAGGCTCACAAGGACCACGAGGAGAACGAGGACCAAAGGGAAGACCTGTAAGTTATTAAATATCTCAGAAATCAAGTACTGGGCTAACCTCAAAAGGTTAGATGGCTTTAAACTGTCTCCGTGTCTTCTAGAGTTACCAGAACTTTCCTCATATTTTCCAAGAATCAGGTAACAAGCAGAAAAACATTTATATCTCACCATTCCCTGGGTAGATTGAAACCTGAATGTTTTGAGATAATTGACGGAGGTTTAGCAGTATTTCTGCTAAAAGCCATACTTTTTCAGCAGTTAGCCAAAGTCAAGCCAAACCAACCCAACCCAAAAAACTGGAACATCACGTTCGCCTGTTTAGGAACTTGCTGACTTTTTGCTGGTTACTACTGTGCATCAGAAGCAGTGAGAGCTGTGTTGCTCAGAGTATTTCAGAAAAGGCAAAGCTCAGGAAGTTAGCAGGAGTTAATATGTGACTACGTATGTTGGTATGCTGGTGAATAATATAATCAAGATTGCTTAGTGGAAATAAAGACTTCATAAGGGAATTTCAGTGTCTGCATGTGGAGAACCACAGAAAGGCCAAAAGGGAGTGCTGAAAATACCAAAGACGACATGTTCCTGCTGAAAAAGCTAGGTCAAAGAGCAGAAGCTGCTAAAAGCAGATTTTAAATTGTTGTATCATTGTAATTTCTATGTGGATATTTTCCTATCCCTCAGGAGAGAGCAAGCCAATACTGAGTTTAAGCATAGGCCTAAAACCGACTCCTTTCTGCTGTTCCTCCAGTGAGTGCCTGTTGTCCATAGATGGTCATGACACTTCTTCTAAAGCAGTGGAGTAAGTGTGTAGTCTCTTTGAGATGGATGCCAAGCCACTGCTGCTCGGTAGATCACCATAAGATGTTTGTCTGATGAATGAGTACCAAAATGTTTAAAGAATTCTGGAAGTAATTGTGAAATCTTGTGGTGTGCAGAGGAATCCTGACGGTGTTTATAGAGACGTCTGAAGTGCTTTCCTAATGTACATCATTATCAATGAAGTGCTAAATAATTTCTGATTCTGTGCCGTGCATCCCTTGTATGTCTCTACAGAGTGGTGGCTAGAAGCACCTAAAATACCAAAAGGCTGTAAATAGTTTTGAGTTCCTTTGACACTGGTTATTATACTGCTTTCAAGGGATATCAAGGGATTAGGAACCAGTCAGCTCCTTTGAAAATGTTACGTCAAAGGTTCTAATGAGCTGTGTGTCTATCAGAGTGTGGGTCTGAGACCAAAGAGCACTGCTTGAGTTACAGAGTGACTGCTAGTGCAGGTTTTTTTATTTATACTTGTGGAAAAAAATGTTAGTTCACAGCTGCAGTTTATATTATGAAAACCTCTCTGCACATTGTTTGCAGTTTGTTTAAAATACCTCATGGAGCAGGTAACCTTGTACAGATACCCTTTGTAAAATTAGTATGGGTAAATACATTACTGACTGCTGGAATTACAAAACCACTAAGCACATTTCCAAGCTTGTTTGTTTCTTTGGATCTTTTAATTTGTTCTTTAAATGGGCTCCTACTGACTAGTGAGCAGAAGGAACTCAACCTTGCTATGGATCTCTGCCTTTTATAAAAGCAGGACCCTTGGATGTAAAGTGAATTCAGGAGTATTAGCATATTTTTTACTTCAGATTCTTTGTGTAACAATGAGAGGGAAACAGCTAGGCAATAGCATGTTTGCTTTTGCAAAACGCATCTAGGGAGGGGGAGTTTTGGAGCATGATAGAATTTCAGGTGTTTACAAATGATCTTTTGAAGACGGAAAATAAGCTTGAGCATCCTCAGAACCATTGTTATGTTTTGTTTCAATATAGATTTACACTCGATTGGAATTGCAGTAGCAGCTAAAATAGATAGTAGTTTCAGAGTGTTCCACCATGATCTGCATTTCCTTTTATTCCATTACAGGCAAAACCTGTAATAGTTTCCTAAACAGCAGCAGCAATGGGCCAGAATGAGTCAATTGCGTGTTTAAGCGGTGCCACCTCGTGGCCTACGTGAGAATTTTTTTCCCTTTTTTTTTTTTTTTTTCCCTTAAGCCTCACTGACCTTGAGCTGGTGAAAATGAAAGGTTTTTTTAGATATATGTAAATAGTTAAATAATATAAAATAAAAGTATAATCAAGATTTTATTACCACCCCCCCAGCATTGGTTATATACCACTGGTTAGTTGCCACCTATAAATACAAACATGCTTTTCGGGGACTTTTTAGGTTTTAGGATAGGGGGGTGCAGTGCTGCTCTTGAAGCAGGTTGATTTTTGGTGACTAAAAAGTAGGTCCTTTTCTAAAAAGAAACCAAAAAAAGATCTTTTTCTATGTCAGATTTTGTTAAGGTGTCTTGGCTTGCTTATTGAAAATCAGTAGTTGTATTAATGCTTGCTTAATTCTTTATAGTCAGCTGTTTTTTTCTCTAATGCTGAGCTTTGTTTTTGAGAACAAACAAAAGAAGATAACTCAGGGACAGTATGCACTTTTAGGTTTGGCAGTGTGTACTTCTGTTTATAATAGAAATATTAAATAATAAAGGTTTTTGCTAGAACCTTCTGCTTCCATCCAACATGCACAAATCTCCTCATTTGTTCCAGAATACCATCTATTTGCAGCTCATTCTGTGAGTAGGGGGTGTGTGTGTGTGTGTACATATATGTCTGATAAGAAAAAGATTTCCCCCTGATTGCTAGGCTTATAGAAATTTCAGACCATAAAGATAGATGGAGAATTAAGAGAACTAGCTCATTCACTGGGATTTTCCAGGAATCCTATTGTCAGTGTTATCCCAGTGTAGCCCTTTCCCAAGGGAATGCTTTTTCTTTAACATGCAAACCATACTAGTTCCAAGAATACTAGTTCAAAGCATACTAGTTCAGACATAAATTCCACTGAAATGTGTCGCAGACTGCGAGGAAACACAGTCCTCATCTCATGGAAATACAAGTAATCTGTCTGATTATAACTGTGTTTGTAAAGATGGCTCACTGAGCCAGGCTTCCAAAGTTTTATGTTTAAACATCCTTAAAGTAGAAGAGCTCATTATACACTATGAAAATTTTCCTTGCCATAGTCAAGCACTTCTATTCTAATGAAGGAAGCAGTAGTGACAAGCACTTTAAGGCCTGTGTTTATGGTTGAAGTATATCTTTATTGGCCCTGTTGCTATTGATTTTGTTCCACTAATGTTTTATTAGCTGCTTCCACGTTTAATTTTAGTTCTGACACAAGAAAAGATGAATGTGGTTTAGGAATCAGAAGTGGGTGATCAAAATGGGAGCAATGGGTTGACCTCCTAGCCTATTTTGCAAATACTAGCTAGAGATAACATGACACTGCATTTTTGGCAGTGTAACTGTGTTGAGAATTCGGCAATAGTATGAGCTGTCTAAACCATTCATGATGTCAGGAGGCTGTAAAAATCCAGCCTTATGCTGGAGTTTCCTAAGCATGCGTATGTACGCTAATCTGAGTTATCTGTATTTTAGAAGTAAATTCTTGATATTCTATATTGTGTGCAAAGCCAAACAGTTTTTCAGGAATAGTATACACTAGTATGGAATGATAGGAATCTTGAGTTTCTAAAAGAGCCTGTGAGAGAAATTACTCCAGTTTACTTGTGTGTTGGATTCATGACTAATTTTAGCCAGTGTTTCTGATCTGAAGGTAGGAACAGGTCTTGAGGGAGGTTGGTTGTTTGAAGATCTTTCTGTAGAAATGCAGATTTATCACAAATGGGGCAGTTGTTTGCCAGTTACAATGATTTTAATCAATACCTTTGCAACTCTTTGCATTTCTGATTTCACTTCTAGGGCCCTCGGGGTCCTCAAGGGATTGATGGTGAACCTGGTATCCCTGGCCAGCCTGGTGACCCTGGTCCTCCAGGGCATCCTACCCACCCAGGACCAGATGGACTAAGCAGGGTAAGTTATACAGTCACTTTAATAGAAAGTGAAGTGAGTGTTGGGCCAGATCCGCATGACAGAAAGAGTAACTTCTCTTTGCTTCAGTGAATGATGTGGAATGCCGTGCCCACAGTTCCTGTCTCCCAGTCATGAGGGACAGCAGCTAGCGGCACTGCAAGGTCTGCCAAAAATTGGGTCAAGTTGAACATGAGAAACCTTGGAAAGGACACATCTTTTGCAATGGGTTTTAGCATCTAGAAAAGCCAAGGTGCCCAAATCTAAAACCCTCAGTAGGGTTCCATTACTTCCACCTGACTTAAACCCAAGGGATCTGGGCAATAGTACAGGGAAACTGGTGTACCAAATTAGGAAAACAGAAAAGAAAAAAAAATATTAATTGTAAATAAGAGACAAATTAAAATGTGGTTAAGTATATTTCTTGCTGGAATTGTTCAGACCAACGCTGATAAGATTAAATAAGGAATTGTTTGTGAAAAGCAGTGCTAACCAGCCATAGATACAGGCAAGATGTTCTGCAAGACTTCCCCCTCCTGTCCAGCCCCAAATTCTATGGAACACTAATGATGATTCATAAATGAAATACATATTTTAATTTCTCAAGTATATTCAGTTACACATTTATTGCTGTTTGGAATAGATCTGTTTTGATTTCTCGCTCCATTGTTCCTGCAACGTTACTGAAAACAATAGAGTTATACTGACAATAAGCTGAAATATTCGTGTTAGGCCAACGGCTTGCAAGTTTGGGCAGCATTCCTTGACTCAGCCACCTTTCCAAATAGTCCTGAATCCAGCAGATTCAGCCCAAGTACATATCTTCAGCACAGAGGAATCCCTTGGAATCACAGAAGCACCAAGATGGGTGTTAGACCGCCATCCTTTATAGATTTCCACAGAAAATATTAAAGAATAGGTGTGGCCAGAGATCTAAGACATTTTTGGCTTGTGTTCTGTCTCTGAAGTTAGGCAATCTCCAGCCTTGTGGAAAATGTATTTGGGGACCAATCTGATGTGGAACAAACTGTAAATCTTAGAAGACTTGAATGCGCATTTGTGCTATTGCTCTGTCTCACCCACTGTAAGCTCTGGCCTGCCATGAGTGAGGATCTGGCTCTGAATGAAGCAAATTAAAACTTTTGATTTCAACTATGTGCTTGCAGAAGAAGGGCACTGAAGGTTCTTCCTGCTCTAACTCATTTGTCTCTGTGAATTGGCCTGAACAGCAGTGGCCTTCAGCTTTGCTGGAAAAGGGCAACACACTTTAACATTCTAATTTGCAATCATAAAATCAGCTACATTTCCATTTACCTTCAGATATTTCTGAACTCACAGTAAGTGAAAACAAAAGAAAAGCTTAGAAGACATGAAAGAATATTGCAGGTGAAGTTAAGGTGTGATTTAAATTTGAAGGTAGTGAAGGAAATCTAGTTACTTTTATGGGAGGCTTTAGTCGTTTTAGGTCATTTTCCTATTTGTTTAATATTAAAGTGGAGGTAGAGTCAGAATAGTAAGCAGACAATATGATGCATTTGACTGGTCTTTGAAGCCTTAAACCACCTCAAATTTACAGGAAAGACAACTTTAATGATTAAAACAAGAATTTAGTTGTTAGCATTGTGAAGCCAATATAAATAATGAAGATGTAGTTACATGGATTTTTGCCTTATCAACCATCAAAATGACTGACAGCTAAAATCACCCATCTTATTTTTTCAGCCATTTTCAGCTCAGATGGCAGGACTGGATGAGAAATCTGGACTTGGTAGTCAGATGGGACTGATGCCTGGTGCAGTGGTAAGACCGAATTAGCCCTGTACTGTAGAACAGGGTGGAAGTGGAGTGCATATGCAAAAACCCAAAGGGGAATTCATCCTCTTCAACTTCCTGTGCCTCTAGAACCTGGATGTACTGTATGTTCTAGTGCAGTTTGGCGCAGTACCTGGAAAAAAGTGAAAAAATATTCTTCTGTTAAAGTGAAAGCTTTTTTTTCCCACCTCTAGCTTTGCTGTCTTCCTTCTCTCCTGAAATATAGCAGCTACTAACAGTAAGGTGCAGATAAAAAACAGCTCCTGATTTTCTCATATCTTAAGTCACTGCAGAGTAACTGAGAAGTGTCACGTATAACGCAAAGCAGAATAAACAAATATGTAACTTTGAAGGCTTCTTTTCACATTGTGACATTAAAGATAGTTATTTTTGGTAGTAATTTAAAAAAATATTTCTGAAACCAGCTGTTAACTGAAAGCTGTGCTTTATTATTTTAAGACAGACATTCTACTTGTCCAGTGGGTTCAGTTTTATCATTGACATCTCTCATTGTTTAGATATGCCCTTTACTTAATGGTAACACTGAAATTTTTTACCGTCTGTCAAAGCTGTTTTACCACCCTAAGCTGTCTCTGCTAGAACTCTTGGGGTTGTTTTTGAATATTATCTCTTTTCAGTACATGCATTTATCACATTGTGATATCTTGAAGATACCGTTACCCTCTTTGGTGTTATTTTTAATGTTCATTCTTAAGGAAACCATCCTTTAGTGATTGTACTGTCCGTGAGTTTGCCTACCTGAATCTTATCACTCCAAGTGCCCATTAGTAACCTTCAAACTCAGTTTCAATACCATTTGAAAGGTTCTAAAGATAATCTGATGTTTTGCCTTAGGATTAACTTTTGCGGTGATTTCTTCAAAGAACCTTCCTTTTTTATGAATGTCTCTCTTTGGTGAATTTGCTGTGCACACATACAATGATTTGTTCCACAAATCTGTCCTACTTGCTATGTTGCCCTCCATCATTTTGCTTAATCCTTTCACTCAATTTGTCTCGAGACATTGCATCTCTTGTACTGCCTCTTCTTTTGTCATTCTCAAATATGATTCATTTTAACATTAGTATCTCTCTTAAGGTATTTTTCAATACCTAGGTTTCTCTGAGGCCTTACACAAAGTCTACTAAAGCCAGCTGGCACTCACTCAGTGTCTTTGGATTGATTCATGTTGTTCTGTGATCTGCTTTTTTCCTTTCCTTGTAAACTGAGTAACTGACAGTCATTCAGCTGAACCATTGTTTTTTGTTTTGTTTTTCAATTTGATCTAAATTTTTAAATGGCCTGTTACTACCTCTTCTACATTTGCTTTGTAAAAATTAGTAAAAATTAACGAATTGTGTGTAAAAGACACAAATCTTGAGCCTCTGTCAAAATGCAAGCTATTGTCTGCTATAGCTGTTTTTGTATTGCTAGAAGCAAGAGGATTACTTTCGGAGAAGATTATGTTTACTTCATGGTATAAGTTACAATTAAGCACGAAATTTTTCCTAAAGATCCCATGAAACTTTTTAAGGAGAAATCTGAATTTTCTGTAACAAACCACAACCAGTTGGAAGCTGTTTTGGTGGTTTGTATGATTCATGAAAATATGTCCTTCCATTGCTGCTTGTTGCTGCTCACGGCTGAGGACAGCAGCATGAATTTATTTTGTCATTGATTCCATTATGAGATTAATCTGAGCAATGAAATTCCCTTCAAGGGAAGACTATTCCCCCAACTCTGTTCTGTTACTACATTTTTTTCAGTGGAGCTATGCAGGCAACTGGGTTATTCTGACTGATTCCAGACACTGTGAGGTTCCGGAAAGCAAAGAAGCCCATATTTTCAGCTGCTAATGAATTTACACTGCTGTGGCTTTTTGAGTTTGAAGATTTTCATTCTATGTACTTTTGTATTTCATAACATCAGTCTCCCTGTCTTTCTAAGCCATAGAAATGTTATCTTGGAGGTCACTATCAGGCCATTTTGCTGTCTTTGTAGGATGAATGTTACTTGCGGAAGGGTGTTTTCCAGTGTGTGTAACAAGTTATGTTTTCGATAGGGTCCAGTTGGTCCAAGAGGTCCTCAAGGTCTCCAAGGAAAACAAGTAAGTACTTTGCCTCAGGGGATTTAAAATAATTGGCCAGAGATGAAGGCAAAGCACGTAGTAACTGGTGTGTGTGTGCATCTCTGAGGCAATATCCATCTTCAATGATGCGTGGATGAATGCATCTTCATCTAGAGGTGAATCTAAACATGCTGCTCTCAGCTCTGCTCCAGATGTATTCTGTACAGAGAAATTAACTCAGAACAATTTATTAGACCTTTAACAAGGTTTTAGCCCAACACACATTTTTTAATGAGGCAACAGCAATGAAAATGGTGACTGTTCTGGTTTCAGTATTGGCATGGTGTTAAGTTTCCAGTGGGATTTGTGCACGGCACAGGACTTATCTAAAGCTTGAGGGATTTTAGTAACCAACTTTCATTCATTTTGCAATGTGAGCTGGTTCTGAATTAGAATCCAGACTGTCCCATGGGCTGTGATTATACTGATCACGGATTTTAATTTATATCCTTATTTTTTTAGTTTTTGGAATTTGTAACTGTGTTAATCTTTGGTTAATTTTAGGGTGGTGCTGGCCCCACTGGCCCACCTGGTGAACCTGGGGATCCAGGACCTATGGTAAGACCAATAAATACAAACATTTCTACAATAATATTGCAAACAATATATTATACCTCCTTACTTCAGAACAGATTTTTTTTTGTGTTGTCTCAGATGAAGCTATTAAGTATCTTCAGTCAAGAGTTGTGGTGTTCAAAGCATGTTGCCCTGAATCAGTGAATTTGAATTGTTATGAACATGCATAATAATGATTATAATGTAAACAATCACTATTACTTTTCCAGCACAGACCTGAGGATGGTTAAACATTGGTAAAACCATAGCTGGTAGTATAACTTACACAAAGGATGATGAGAATATTTATTTTTTGGAGGTGATAAAATGATTCAAAAATAAAAGCAAGAGCCAGAGATTTGGAACAACAGCAACTGTGATTGTTGATGTATTTTTTTTCTCCTAAAGAATCCGTCCTATCTTTTTACATAACATAATGCAGGTTTCTTGGGGGCAGGATGGTTAGAAAGAGCACTACAAAATTAAGCAAGTGTGCTTAGGCACAAATTCATCCTTTTTCTATATCCGTTTTTGTAAAACCAGGCTTTGAAATGGAGCAAGCAGATATTTTAGTGATGGTTAAATTGACTTCTCAACAAATATATTTATTTCTTAGGGTCCAGTTGGTTCTCGTGGGCCAGAGGGACCTCCAGGCAAACCTGGTGAAGATGTAAGTTTGTATCTTGTTTTATTTTTAATTAAACAAATACTGGCATCTTTGGGACAGTGACTAATAAGCAGATGTGCCTACTGTAACTACTTTTATCTATTTACTTTTCTTTGTAATCATACTCCTTGTTAAGTGCAGTGTCATAACTGTAAGTCCTAGCAATCCCTTTCAAAACCCTCCTATGTTTTCCTTGCATATCACCATCATACCTAAGGTTTAAGACCTGGCTCTCTACTATTTCTTGCCTCAGCCAGTTCTTCAACTGAGATATCTTTCCTGAAATCAGACTTACTAATGTACCATAGTTAGGAGGGGGCAATTGGAGGCATCTCCTCTCTTTGGGATCGCATGATGGTTTAGAAGAACTGTAATGGTAGCATTTGCCTGGATCTGGACAATAAAATTTTAGTATTTAAAATTAGTATTTAGCTTCTTAATAATTTGTTATATTCATAACTGATTTTATGACTCTATCCATGTATGTACACATATACATAAGATGTATGTATTATACATGTTGCATAAGTGTATATGTACTGCACAACAATAGCCTAAAAATTTACCAGTAGACATATATTATTTGTTTGAAAAGCACGCTACATCCATCTGAATTGTAATTTATAGCTTGGAAATGAGTTGAAAACTGCAAATGCTGGATATTTTAGTATAAAAATTACTGTAGCTTGTGTAATGGCTGCTTTCCCATTAAATTGTACAAAGAGTTTTAAGAATCTTTGGAAACAGTTAACTGTCAGTGCAGTGAAGCCAAATCTCGATACAGCTCTAAGAACTTCCTCCACTTCCAATGTATGTATGGGTTTCTTTAATTGCATTTGTGAAGCACTTTACCTTCTCTCTGTCCACAAGATATTTTTCTGAAGCCTTTCATATTGCTGCAGCCCAGAGTCCTGCGTGTATTTGAACTGATTGATGCATATAAAGGAATGTTTAGTTGTGACTCTGGAGGACTTTGAATAATCTTCGAAATACGCTGATTTGGTTCTACCATTTTTTTCTTTCCTATTGATATGACACAGAAAATAGTCACTGCCCTAGAATGAAATTATACACATTTTAAACCATTTGAACAGAAGGAGAAGTAGCAAGCTGCAATGCAGGCAGTTTTAGGTTGCTGTTCCTATGGAAAATTAAAGTAATTTGACTTTCTGCCTGAGGATGACAAAAGGTTGCCTCTTTAATTCACAGGAAAACTACGTTGCAGCGCCATCTTGTGATGCTGAGATGCATTTTGCACTCAGTCTTCAGTTCCCGCAATTCTTTGTTAAAAACCTTCTTTAAGTTAGTGTGTCTAATACACATTGCTAGCTAAGTGTGTGGTTGATTTATATCACTGAAACTGTTACAGTAAAGGGTGGATATATAATACTGGTGTGAATGTCCTCATTTGTTTGAATGGAAGAATGATCAGAGAAGTTACTTTTCACATTTACTATTTTCATGTGTACCTTTTTTTATTTTCCTTAGGGTGAACCTGGCAGACCAGGACAATCCGGTGAGCCTGGATTTCCAGGATCTCCAGTAAGAGCGTGATTATTTACATTTTAGCAAAATATTCATACTTATGTCATCACTGTCTCTTTTACTAATGAGTGCAAAGCTCTGCCATTCAATTTCTGAAGTACTTGTGTTAGCTTACTCTAATGATCCAGGTCAGCATGGTAGCGCAGAACCAAACAGGTGATTCAAAAGTCCTTGAGTTAATCCTGAGAGTCTTTTCACGGTGTACCTTTCAACTGTTTCATAGGTGAAATATGCATAAACCAGATGATAGCATGTATAAGTTGTACTCCATTTCCCAGTATTTCACATGATCATTCGCAATCATGTGCAGGAAGTGCTCAGAGACTGTAAAATGATGTCAGGCTGGGGTGGCACTGTTTACCTTTATAACAGTCAGTCTGAGGGCAGCAGAGGAGGGGATTGTATCATAGACATACGTAATCTATTTTTATATATATTTTCAATATGCAAATGTGATTAAAGGATTTCCAAATAATACGTACTTGTACTGCAGAGGATACTTGTCGTGGCTTACTCTAGAAATAAAAGAAAACAGGTGTATCTGATGATAGAATGACATCATTTTATCATCTTACATAATTTTGGCCCATATTAAAGAGTTCTACCTTCATTAGTCAAGTTTCTGTACCTGGAAGGGAGCTGTAGTGTGGCTGAAAAGGGGACAGATAAATCCCAGAACTGAAGCCACATGGTACACATAATCTCTTAAGCTACAGGAGATACGATCTCTTGGAGAGATAAATGATTTTTTTAACAAGGTAGCGTTGTTCCCTAAGCTTTCGTTCTAAGGAAGGATCCTTTATGGATCAAAGGCAATGTTTTATAAGCTGCTTGAGGCAAATGCAGTCTGTGGAGTATTGTTCTGCCAAGCTGTTTTGCTCAATAAAATCATCTCTTAGAAGACTTGCTAATAAAGGAAAGAAGTACTGCAACTGCACACGCACAAAAAAGATCTCATTAAGAGTTTGCTGCAATTGCATAGCACTGTAAAGAACACCACTGAATACCCTGATAGTTTATCAGAGAAGTGTGCCATGTCTTGATCAATGACAAGGCCCATAGACTGCTACGGAGATACCTGATGGCTGTTTCCCCTTGCACAGGATTTGCCTCCTTGCCATGTGACTTGTCCCATGTGCGTGCTTCGTCATTTGATTGCCCTGGTTGTATAACCTGATATACCACTGAGCACAGGCCAAATAAATAGTTTTTATGGGCTACATTCAGTCTAAACAAGCATAATTTGTACAATTTCAAATTTACATGCAAGACCTTTTATGACAACAGAGATGATCCTTCACTGAGAAACTCATTGAGTATAAATAATGTCAAGCAATCTAATATGTTAATTTCAGAAATTTCATATCTTTATAAAGTAATTTTCCCTTTAGGAGTCCACAAACTCTGGAGTAATTTCCCACTGAACTTTATGATCAAACATTATCCATATAATTGACCATGGGAAGACGAAGACCTTTCTTACATTCCTTGATACTAACAAGGAAACAGCTTGTCTGTATGTGAAATTCTCCTCTCTAATGCTGAGATCTCAGATGTTCTTTTTCAATCTTCTGAATATCAGTGTTGCTTCATGATGCTTTGTTTTTTATAATATATCTTCATGATTTTTTGCTATGCCGAAAGGTATGAACTGTAATCTTTATGAGCACTTTGGTTCAGAGGTACCACAAAGGAAGAAATGATATGTTTAAACAGTTTGCTGAATTGTTGTTATCTGAGAGTATGAAGGTGTTAATGTGATTTCCATTATAAATTCATGTGACCAATATTCTTACACAAGGCACCTAGCACCCTTCCATTTCTTAGTCTCTCCTGAAAGAGAAATCAGGAAACTTGGTAGGAAACTAAGTGTAAGGCAACTTTGGTTTAATTGTTAAATGTGTTTTAATAGCAGTTGCTTATCATGCTACTTGACTGACATTTTCTGAAAGAACATGTACAGTTTGCAGTGTGGTCTTAGTTTCTATTTTATTTTAAAAAAGCTCTGACTTTTGATCTCTGTTTAATTAAGGTTTCTTCATATTAAGCTTCAAAACTTGATCTACCACTAGTCATTACTTCTGTTTGAGGTGTGATCATACACTAATGTAACCAATAATGCTTTTAATATCAGTGAAAATGTACATAATGCTGAGACTGTCTAAATTCATAGCATGTTATGCTGTATCATCTGCGATCTGCTCAAATGCTATACCTCACTACATTGTGTCATCAAGGTGAAAGAATGTTAAGAGTATTAGTATTAATGCTGCTACCCTCTCTCCTGTTAGCAGCATTATTGCTAGGTTTATCTGCAGAAATAAGGATTTTATTTGTTTGTATTCTTTTTCCTACTTAGGGGCCTCGAGGCTTTCCTGGTGCTCCTGGTCTCCCAGGACTCAAGGGTCACAGGGTAAGAAACAAGATTTTCCCTCTCCTTACAGGTGATGTTTCCAGGCAGTTTCTGTATACAGGTACTCAACTTTTGTATTAGTGGTGAATTTGACGACACTTTTAGTCCTGCCAGTTGCAGCAGAATCCCTGGCATTTGGGAGAAAGAGGGCCTTGCAGAAAATCAACGCTATTCCCCTTTAAGCTGACCTCTGTATTATATTCTCTAGTGCTTTCCTCACTCTGTTTTCAAATGATCTGGGAATCTGGAAGGAGCTTGCATGAGCCCTGCCAAGCTTCAGGAGGCACAAACCTGACAGTTCTCTCACTTTGTTGGCAAGTCTTGCATTAGGGTGGGGAACTTGAGAGAGGGATATGTTTGCAACATGGAGCGATTACAAATTACCAAGCTTTCTGGCCAGAATTTTACTTTGGGGAGGAATAAACAGGTTTCCTATGGCTCAGAGCCTCCTCCTTGTTGTTTTAGGATTTTTTTTTAAAAGTTCTTGTTTTAAAAAGGAAACCAAATCCAAGGAAATGTACCTTGTACAAATGGTTTCCATTTAGGGAATGTTTAAAAGCTTTATTCCATCTTTTTTTTTTTTCTTTATTTTTTTCCTTTCTTGCTCTTGCCACCTCCCATCTATTCTTAACACTTTAGTATCGAGCTATTTTAACAATAATAGTAGGAATGTTCTGTGTGTGTAGATACAAAAATATAATTTCTCCGTATTTCTATAACTCTTACAGGGATTGAAAGGACTTGATGGTCCAAAAGGTGAAATTGGAGCAGCTGGAGCAAAGGTATTTGCATGGTCCAAAGAACTAAATGCTTAAGCATGTTTTCTATAATGCCAAAATAATGAAAGACAGTAGGTCTTTCGAACACAGCTTTGTACCCTCTCCTGGCAGTGCTACTTGTATGGAGTGCAGAGGCTACATGGAATTGTCCATTTTTCCTGTGTGTTTGATCCATATAAGGTGCTATACAATGACATGTCTGGGATTTATACAGGAAGAGAGTTCAATAGTGCCAGTCACGATTTCAGCTGGGGCTCAGTTTTAGGCTTGTAAGGTATCACTAGGTGAATTGACTGTGGTCTGTCTGTGACACCTATGTAATACTGAGGACAACAAAGTCTGTTAACAAAAAGCCTGTACACATCTTGCAATTTTCCACTTGGCCAGTTTGCGGTTCCTGTTGGCTTTATGTGACCAAGCTGAGAAAGGAAAATCAGTTTTCTAACATTTTTTAATATGATATAATATAATAATGCATAACTAAAACCTGACTCTCCTCTTTTGGATAACCGTACTAGAAATTGGCTTAAAACAAACAGGCATTGGAGAGGAGAGAGAATATATTTTATCAAACTGACTATTTTTCACCTAACAATTTTATTCCTTTAGAACTTTTGACCCTCACTGGTACTGCAGCATCCTTACAACTTCAGCTCAAAGCAGTGGTGACACAGGATACCCAGCTGGAGACAATTCTTTCAAGATGGATTAAAAGTTATTTTAAAAGAGCATAGAACACTTTTTTCCCAGGCTTTTTCACACCAATCAATGCTGATGCTGAAACATTTTTGACCTAGTGTAGGCGGTAATCACAGGTGGGACAGAACTATTCCTTTAGATTAAAAATGTAGTAAATGAGGTGAATCTTCCAAACTCTAAATTTAAATGTGAACTCAGTAGTTAAGGAGAATTTGTGTAAGAAAACATTTCTTTCCTGAGATTGCCTACTACTTTCTGTGGAGGCAACAACAGCAGGAGACTTGGTAGAAACAGTACAGTAGGTGGTGTGGGCTCTTAGCTAGAACAGGTAGGAGTTAAACCTGCTTCAATGAGAAAACGTAAATATGGCATTTCCCATCAGCATGGGAAACAGTGGCCTTGGTGCACACAGGCGACTGCAAATCTGCCTCTTAGGTCTAACATAAGCACAGAGGACAGGAGGAAACATGTAACTATATTTTCCTCTAAACTGTTTCCTCTAATTGTGTCATTTCGTTTCCATTTCTAGGGAGAATCCGGACCAACAGGTGCCATGGGTGCAACGGGTCCTCTAGTGAGTGTCATGTGCATTGGGTATTACAGAAGTGGCTTTAAGATTGTAAATGCTATTGCCAACAGGAATTTTAAGGTTTTGATATCTGTACTTGATGTCATGAAGCTGAACTTTCTCTTAATTGAGGCTTTGTTTTCTATTACATTAACAGTAAATTGGGTCCGCTATAAGCTGTTATTCCTCACAATTCACAGCCATAGATAATGACAATAAATCAGAAGGCTCAACAGAACCTGAATGTAGGTTTTGTGATTGTTTACCCACTCACGTAAGTCTGAGGTGACTAAATTTTTTTTGATGCTTCATATGGAGTGATTTCAATATGAGAAAAAAATGGTTTAGGTTGCTCTGAGATAGAAGTGGAGTAATTTAGGTCAGAAATGCACTAGTGAAGAAAACCATGGACAGAGGATTTTGGAGGTTATGGTGAAGATAAGCATGCATGACATGGAAGCGAAATGGAGAAAATTTTCTCAGAGTAGTTTTCATTCAGATGTGGTTTTGGACAACTGAATACTTCTGAGGAGTGTAATATGCCAAAATTTGACTCTCAGCAGTGCTTCTGGAAGTAAAGCACCTTTCTGATAGCATATAATGACATCTCTCTGCGAAGCACTATCTTGTGTCATGCAGAATGTAATATCCCTGAACTGGAACCTAGTTTGTGAATGAGACGTAGTAAATGAGGTTGCATTATTGACCCTGGTGAGTATATACAGAATTTATTCTAATGTGTTTAAAACTGGAAATACTGTTGGAATAGGAAAAGAGAAATTACAGTCTATTAAATTTCCACTGGGCAAGCCTGTGAGGCTGGAAGGATTTATGTAAGCTGTTACTTCTTTCCTGCTATAGGACAAGATAAGCTACACCTGCAGGGGGAAAAATAGTAACTTGGTTCTGTAACTATTGTTCACATCATCTGTTCTTATCGTGCTTGTAGTCTCAGGGAACCTAATCGTGTTCTTGTAAAAAGCAAATAAAGAAGACTGAGCAGAAAATCGCTGAAGAGCGATGCAGTATGGAACTTATTTGAAGCAAAGGAAAAGTCAAGTATGTTTTAAAAAAAAAAAAAAAGCAAAGAAAAAGATGACAAAAAAAAAAGAGGGGGTGGCATGTGTTCT